GCGAGGGGGGCGGGGGGGGGGGGGGGGGTCCCCCTTGGTCTGTTCGCGATCGTGTTCTTGGGGGGCGTCCCCCGGGTCCCCCTAAGGACGGCCCCGCACACACACACACACTGCCAATTTTTCAGGGCACAGCAGAGGTTAATGAAGCCGAAATAAGTGCTTCACACTCATCACACTCCATGCACTTCAGCCATATGAGGTCATTGAGAAACTAACTAGAGCCAAAGGTCCCGCCCCCATGACTCATCACTGACACATTCTTGTCTTGCCTTTTGGTCACAGCCATGACATCAGTGTTCATTATCATGACTAAGAGATGCCTGGATCTCACCATTCACAACAACTGATATACAACGGAAATACCTAATGCTATGATAAAAACATTCCCAACAGATGTTAATAGAAAAGAAGTTAATGCTCTTAATTACAACGTGTTTAATGCTCTGTATGTTTTTTTACCATAAATTTAAAATCAACTTATTTTTCCCTTAAAATTATAAATTTTCTCAGTTTAAACATTTGATATGTCATCTATGTTGTATTCTGAATAAAATATTGAAATTTGAAACTTCCACATCATTGCATTCTGTTTTTATTCACAATTTGTACAGTGTCCCAACTTTTTTGGAATCGGGTTTGTACAATTTCCTGTCACCAACCAATCACCTTACACAGTCTGACATCACAGGTAACAGATGTCAGACTGGCTTCTACAAGGAAATTTCTATGGTAATGATTTAGAAACTAAACTCCTGGTAACTGTTCATTTCCTGATGGGCATTATGACTGCTTTAACTGGACACTCCTCTCCCGTTCTGGTGACGAGAACAGAATATTTCCTGCTCAGGAAACAGATGAACTCTCTGAGTCCAAATGTGGAGGTCCACAGCTGCTTCACCGTCAGGCAGAGGATGGGTAACTATGGCCTTCCTGTCTGCTCCACTGTCAGTCCTCTTAACCCCTGATATGTCAGTTGTTTTCTAGGACAAGACTGGAGTGACTGGACCGTGAAAGACATAACCTTTCACTATTTATCCACAAAGTTAATCTGCAACAAATGTGTCACATATTTGGAATTTTTTGTCTTCAACTAGTCCGGACTTCAAGGTGACTTCATCACCTGCAGGATTTTCTGCACCACTGAACTGATGCAATAATAACTCTGACATCATTTAATAGAGAATGAGTTTCATGACGTTTCGTTGAGTGTTATTTTAGCACTGCTTATATGCTGTTATACAGTAGCGTTATTCATATTTTTAATTAGCTCTTTTTTTTAAATGGTCAGTTTTTTACTTTAATATTAGTTTAAGTTTTAGTACTGTTGTTATGTGCATGTTACATTTTTATTATCTTTTTATATATTTCTGTTTAGCATTAAATTATAGTTATTTTAGTATTAGTAGTTTCAGTACTTCAACTTACTAACATACTTCAGTTCTTTTATTTAAACATTACACATTTTTTTAAGTTAGTTTTTTTTTTAATTATAATTTTATTTACATGTTATTTTATTTCAATCACCACCGTTTATTATGATTTTTGGTTTAGTTCCCAAGGAGGCATATAAAACATTAAAGGAATAGTTTATTGAAAACTAAAGCAATTCTCCTTATGTTCCATGGAGAAAATAACAATAGACAGAAAATAAAAAGTTCAGTCTGATTGAACAATGTCTTTAAGACATTTATCAAGGACAACTACAGCATGAAAATAAATGTTGTCAACATCGTGTTCCAAAATATTCCACACTCATTTAAGAGAGGCAGGGATTTGTCATTAACTTGAGCCTTGAGAAAATACACTGTTAATGTTTATTTTCGATTATTTTGGGAGGAGAGGACAAGTTATCTTGCTCACCGATGGCTATGGCCAATCCCTAGGTCTCCACTGCCTTGTTATGACTTTATTTTGGCTAACAGACTGGAAGCGCAAAATGGTGTTTACACGGTTATGTCCTGTTTCACATATTTTACATCCTTTTAGGGATAGGTGGAACATATTTAATGTAACATAAACATTACGTATCGAGAACAATGAGTAAAAAGTTATACTTTTAGTAGTAAAATACTAAATATAGTACTTAACCACACAAAAACTTTAAATAGTTAATGGTCTTTCATTTGTACTTACTTTAGTGAGATAGTAGACACACTGCTGGAAGGTGAACATGATGACTTCCTCTAGGACTGTCATGGCCTCCTCACTGGCAGCACGTGTGGACTGGATCTGACAATCCATTGATTCTGAGCAGATGGAGACATGATGTTATTGCACATTCACAAAAAGACCTCAAGTACCAGCATTCTTTTGTTCTGTGACAAAAAGCTGAAATGAACAAATAACTTAAGCAACAAGCCAAAGAGGCCATATGTCACAGTGATCGAACACATATTTAGTATAATTTAGGACAACACAGAGCGAAGGCTCGTACCTTTGTCCATTTCCTGTCTGTCCTGCTGTCTCCATGTTAAGAGCAGGGGGACCTCATGTTGGATGAAGTGCAGCAGCTCAATGGAGTTGGACATCCACAGCACCAGCGGCTGTAGGCCTGGGATCAGATCCTTGATGTTCAACACATGCTGCTCTGCTGACGTATCACCAGTGCTTCTGTAGCATAGTAAGCACAATGGTTACACGTTATACATTCATTTATTCATCCATCCATCCACCTGTCTGCCTATCCAACACACAATCATCCATTCTTTATCAGACCAACCAAACAAACAACCATATATCTAAACAACCATCCACTTACCTGTCTAACCAATCAACCAGCAATCTAAACAGCCATCCCTTCATCTGTCTGACTAACCAACCAACCATCTATACATAAAGATAACTGTACATCCAACCAACCAGACATCTATCTGTCTATGAACACCCATCTATAAGCTTGTTCAACCAAATAGCTATCCATTTGTCTAACCAACCATACATCTACCTTTTGGCCTGTCAGTCTAAATATCTGCTGAAAATAATCAACCAACCAACCATTTACCTCTGTATTTTTTTTTAATTATATGTCTGTCCAACCAACCCAGCAACCAACTATCTTTCTGTCTGTCTAACCAACGATCTATCCAGCTATGTGTCTATCCATCAAAATTTCTATACATCCAACAAACTAACCAATCATCTGTCTGTCTACATACACCTATTGATTGGTCTGTCCAACCAATTGTCCAGCTTTACATTTATGTTATTTTGTCTAACTAGCCATCCATCTATCAACCTTTCTGTCTGTCTACATGTCTGTCCATCAAACAAACCAATCACCATATCATTATGTCTAACCATTTATATCCAACCATACATCTATTCATTTATCTCTCTAACCAACCAAACAACCAATTTACAATCAATCATCAACCATCCATATAAACATTTATGTATCTGTCTGTCCAACCATCCATCCATCCATCTAATCAGCCAAACCAAACATCTGTCTGTCTAAAAGTCTAACCAACCAACCAACCACCTTAACAACTAATTAAATAAGACAAAGAACAGTTGGTTTAACTTGGTGCAATGATGCCAGGGGCTTCACAACCTTCTATACCAAAACACTAGCACCAAAAAGAAGCAAGCAAGCCATAATCAAAAAATTTAAGATGTTGAGGTTAATTTCCCCCGTTTAGTACTTCCATTTTAACCACTAAGCTGTATACCTCACCACAATATGAATGGAAAAGATAAAAAATCAGGATGTAGACTGAGCGGAAAAAGTCAACTGATAGAAAATGCCAGCTCTCTGCTAGCCAAATCTGCAATTTGCACACGAGACAATCAGAGCCTGAACCACTTTAGCACTGCTGTCTGTCTGCAGACAGATTTATTACTGTACACTTCAACAGTTAATGACATGCTCAAGTGGCCTTGTCTCTGGTCATGATTGGGCACCACAGAGAAAACAAAAGTGAATTGAGCACCCACAGCACCATGGGTGATAATGAGCTAGTTACTGCCGTCCTTTAAGTTCCCTGCTCTTATTTCAGAGAGGCGAGTGAAAGAAGAATGGTTGCAGAAAGAAATAAGCTCTCTCACATGTCTGGCTGCAGAGCTGCGAGTTCTTTTGTTCTTTCCTGTAGAGGAGAAAAAAAAACATCTCAGAAGAACAGATCTGTTTAAGTGTACCACAACCTTTAATCTCTGATGACAACAATGACCTATTTTAGCTATCCAAAAGGTGTCTCAAACAGGACATGTTCTTGTGCTCAGTACTCAGTTGGTTTTAAATTGTATCATATGGACACCATAGACTTCAATACCCCATAGTACTAAATGGTTACTACTATAATGTACCATGTTATATATACATGTTACTCCAAAGTACTTTCCTATACATTCTCGTTGGCTGTTCTAACAGCCTGCATAGTAAGATGGTACTATTGTGGTACTCCACAGGTATTTCAAATAATACCAAGGAACTACCATGGTATAAATGTCAAAAATCTCCATGGTATTACTATGGCGTTGGCTGCTTTTTGTACTCCATAAACTCCCACTCACCCACATGGTGAGCTGGACTTGATTAGCAATGGAGAGCAGCAATTTCCGGAGGTCAACCAACTCAAAGTTGGTGGCGGAGTGCTGAATGCACAAACACAGCAGAAAGGCTGGAGTAAGCTTGGGTTCTTCCCCTCCTGGGTCCACCCTACTGAGAATCTTCTCCAAGACTTGATCTTCATGCTGCACCTGATAGGACAACGAGAGCACCTTGCCCTCCAAGTCCCTCCAGCGGGCGGCCATTTTTTGAGTCCTCCTCCTCCTGACGGATGTTCCACACAGTTTACAGGGTGATGCTGTGGCTGGAGGACACAGAGTGGCCATCCAGGATGGGGTCTGGAAGGCTCCTGAGGTCGTAGGGTCCTTGAACATAAAGAGATAGTGCTGCCCGAGCCCCACCAGGTCCCCTGGACACAACTCAACCTCGTCATCAAGGGGGACGCCGTTGTGCATAACAAGTGCGCTGTGGAGGGGTCTGAGCATGGTTTTCATCTTGCTACTTCCCGTGGTTTGGTCACTGGTGGTGTCTAGACGCTGTACGCAGCAGTGCTGAGGTAGGATGTCAGGGGCAAAGAGTAGGACGTCCACTTTTAGGGTCTCTTCATTGTGACCAGTGGAGGATTCAATGGAGGAGCCAAATATACAACTGTTCCCACTCATCAGATAGATCAGAAAGTCCTGAGAAGAGATTAACAGCAAAAACAGGAGGTTTTATTCATGTGCGCCAGCAGAATCTGAAACAAAACTAACTTTCAGAGACTTCACTGACTGTTAAGTACTGGGACAAACCGTGTGGGGGGGGAAATGATTTATACACCAGGGATTAGAGATTTTGGGATAAATCTGTAAAACTGTATATGGCTTCATCTTCTCAAAAAAAGTTATTTCCTTGCGTAACACTCAATAGGGGTCAACATGGTCTAAATCAGTGGTTCCCAACCCTGGTCCTAGAGGCACCCCAACACTGCACATTTTGCATGTCTCCTTTCTCTGACACACCAATTTCAGGTCTTGGAGCAGGGGTGTCCAAACTCTGTCCTGGAGGGCCGGTGTCCTGCAGAGCTTAGCTACAACTTGTCTCAACATACCTGCCTGGAAGTTTCTATTATGCCTAGTAAGAGCTTGATTAGCTGGTTCAGGTGTGTTTAATTAGGGTTGGAGCTAAACTCTGCAGGACAGTGGCCCTCCAGGACCGAGTTTGGGCGTCTTGGAGTCTCTACTAATGAGCTGATGACCTGAATCAGGTGTGTTTGATTAAGGAGACATGCAAAACGTGCAGTTTTGGGGTGCCTCCAGGACCATGGTTGGGAACCACTTGTCTAGATACAAAAATGTTATGCGCTGTCACGTTAAATATTTATTATAAATATTGAAAACTCTAGCATTAGCACTGATTATGAATTATTTCTTGTGTTAACAATATAATAATATTTTGCATTAAATGCAGTAAACATTTTATTTTTGGGATGTTTTTAGCTACTACCAGGACCTACTTAAAATAGAAAAAGAATCCAAAAATCCCTAAATCTGCAAAAATGTCAACAATTCTGTGTTTTTCTGTCAATATGGGGTGCTGTGTGTACATTAATGAGGAAAAAAAATGTACTTAAATGATTTTAGCAAATGGCTGCAAAATAACAAAGAGTGAAAAATTTAAGGGGGTCTGAATACTTTCCGTACCCACTGTAATTACGTATATATTTAAATAATAACATTTAGCAGAATTAATGTTGCTGGACTAGCACTAGAATTATGCAAAGGCTGAGTTTAATACTGCTTGATTTGATAAATGTTTTTATAAAAATCTATTGATATAAATATCTTTAGTTTTTACAAAAAGTATAGTTTTGAGGTACATTTGTGAAACATTACATAAAACCCTTATGTGCCATGTTACTGTTAAAGATAGGCCTAAATATTTATAATTCTAACATTTTAATCAATATTAAGTATTGAATAATAGTTTATAGACAGGTGCATTTAGTGGGAATGTTTTGAAAATTAGGTACATTCAAACACCTCTGATTAATTTCAAAGTGTAAATGAAATGTTATATTTTAAACTAGTGTCAGTTAAAGGTGTGGGACATGTTTTGTTTCACATCTCAAGAATCAATGTGTTATGTAATCCCAGCGCACTGATAATTGATTTTAACAGAAGGAGGAAGTACAGTATAAAGACGGACTTGTCTAAATTCTTCATCTGCTTAAACTGAGGTGTCAAAACAGACTGCACTGTTGATTGATCCACTTTGTGCTGCTAAACCACATGATTCTTCTGCTCTGAAGAAGCGCCTCTCAGGACTATATGTGATTGACATAGAGCTGATCTAAGTCCCTTAACCCAAGATAATCTCCCAAGCACTTTAGGCTGTAAACTCACTCTCATTCACCCATTTACAAAACTCTTTTGCTTGACACACACTGGAAATAGACTGAGGACCCCATCATGACTAAAGTGGACAAAAAAATACATCTAAGCCCTCTGTAGATGTCAACATAATTCATCATATTTAGCTGTTGGAACATTTCAAATCACTGATGTAAAAATCACATGATCGGAATTTCCCTGAATTCAGACACATACAGTTAGTAGCATGTCTTATCATTTGTGTGGGGAAAAACAACCCCATATGAGACCACATTTACTATGTCTATTTTGATTTAATTTCTACATTTCCTCAAGTCGAGAGTTTCCAGTATGCGTTGCTTTGTTGATTATAATAGGATGGGAGAAATCCAGTGTAGACATTGCGAAACAGGAATACTAACTTTTCCAGCTAAAAATGTGGAGGCTCAAAGGCCTGTGGCCAAAATCAAGATAAACAGCAGTGCATAGCAGAAGGAGTCGTGTCACTGCCAGGGTTCACCGCAGGCTTAGTAAACAATGCTGATTATTACCTTCAGTAAAGTGCAGCGCTTCACAAGTCCTCACTAACTCCTGATTATAGTTCTGTATTTAAACGAGACAATACGCATATAATTACTGCTAGAACCGCAAACCCCTTTATCGCTCTCTCACATGCATACGCTATAAGCAAGAGATTGAAATGAATGAAATGTTCATCTTTAACATCTTGAATGAAATTATAATAACTGTCTCTGCTTCTGAAACTATTTTTTCTGGCTCCATTCCACTCGCTTTTCGCAATCAGATCAACTGTAGATGGATTCTCATTGAATATTTTGTTTCAACTGTAAACATGCCACATTGAAAACGCTTAAAGAATGGCGTTTCATGTCTATTTTGAATATGTCTGTTTATTTCTCTGGTCACATTGTATAGTTACGGTTTTCCAGTGTAGCGTGAACATGCAAAAACTCACACACCCTTGACAATGCTTACTCAGTAACACTGACTGAGGAATAGCAGGGTAGCTGCTGTCTCTAAAAATGTGCTTGGCTTTCCCACAGATTGCTACTTTTAACATGTTCTACAAACAATAGAAGAATGACTGTAGCTGTGGTGTTGAAGAGAGAGAATGTCCCTATATTCTATAGATTTGCTGCAAAGAACTGGCCATTTATCCAGTGGAGGCTCCAGCATCTCCCACAACCCTACACAGGACAAGTGGTTTAGAGCAGTGAATCTCAACTTTTTGGCGTACTGGACTCCAGTCCAATTCAGAACCATCCTCAAGGACCCCCAGAACAAAATGGACTCGTATCATTTGTGTCTTTGTGAGGACCAAATGCAGTCAAGTATAATTCAAGTTAGTTGACTTGTCCAGTATTTGGCCATATCATCAGCTACATTGGATTTTTCTTTCATGGGAACAGGAGTCATGTCAAAATATACAACATTTATACAAAAATTCATACTTTATATGGACCCCCTGGCCTTACGTCAAGGACCACTAGGGGTCCATGGACCCTGGTTGAGAAACACTGGTTTAGAGAATAGGTGGATGGATGGAACCACAGATCTGTTTGTTATTTAATTAATCTAATTCATTTCAACTGTTGTGGTGTGATGGAATCAAAAGGCACAAGCACAAAACATTATTTAACAAAAAGAAGTTTGAAATAATTAACTAATAGGTATATACTGTTCCAAATGAAGACTAAATGTATCTGGACCCTTTGTGGTTTGAAAAGTTAGTGGATAATATTGATAGTTTCTTCTTACATCCAGAAGAAAAACTCTTAATTAACATTCTGATAAAATTACATTCAGACATGATAAGTGTGTCCAAATACTTTTTGGGGTCATTGCATACATTTTGATATACACATACACTATCGTTCAAAAGATAGAGGTCGGTAACACTAATATTATGAAATATTATTACAATTGAAATTAGCTATTTTCTATTTTAATATATGTTAAAATGTAATTTATTTCTGTGATGTAAAGCTGAATTTTCAGCATCATTACCTTTAGAATTCATTCTAATCTGCTGATTTGCTGCTCAAGAAACATTTATTATTATTATTAATGTTGAAAACAGTTGTGCTGCTTAATATGTTTGTGGAAACCACGATTGAACAACCATGAACAAGTTTTATTCAAGACTTTTTGGTGAATAAAACGTTTGAAAGAGCAGCATTTCTTTGAAGTAGAAATCTTTATAAATGAAGAAAACATTATAAATGTCTTTACTGTCACTTTTGATCAATTTAATGTGGCCTAGGTGATTTCTGGGTTACTACTTAGAATATTTGCTTTAATAACAACCATAAAATCAGAAATAGTCAAAAATGTACATATGGGATATACATACGGGTATTTTTTTTAATACGAGCACTGAAATTCAAAATGCGTGAACAGGCCTCAGTCTATTTTTTTCTTCGCTGTTGTCTTTAATCTGTTGGATCTATGGGTTTATTAAGGGCTTGTGGGATTCAGTGTGTTTCTCTCACACGCTTCGGCTCCTCCTGTGTGAGAGGTAACAGCCCTCGTTGTTGACCAGAGCTCCAGTTTAGCTCCTCTCCCATTGCCGGCCAGTCCCAGGACGCCTAGAGACACATGGATCACCTGTCTGTCCAAATCCTGTCCCTCTGACCTGGGCCAATCCTGAAGAAAACGCCATCTCTCTTTACAGTGAGTGGCAACCAGCCAGGATACTCCTCACCAGATTAAACTGTTTAAGTCAAGACTTTACGGCACTGTCAGCAACATGCACCAATGACTTATGTAAGGTTTGGAAAGGCGTCTAATACTGGGGTCAGAGACATTTGATTACAGTGTGCTTTGTTTTTTTTGTTATTCTGTGATGTAAAGCTGAATTTTCAGCATCATTACCTTTAGAATTCATTCTAATCTGCTGATTTGCTGCTCAAGAAACATTTATTATTATTATTAATGTTGAAAACAGTTGTGCTGCTTAATATGTTTGTGGAAACCACGATTGAACAACCATGAACAAGTTTTATTCAAGACTTTTTGGTGAATAAAACGTTTGAAAGAGCAGCATTTCTTTGAAGTAGAAATCTTTATAAATGAAGAAAACATTATAAATGTCTTTACTGTCACTTTTGATCAATTTAATGTGGCCTACGTGATTGCTGGGTTACTACTTAGAATATTTGCTTTAATAACAACCATAAAATCAGAAATAGTCAAAAATGTACATATGGGCCTAACAGGCCTCAGTCTATTTTTTTCTTCGCTGTTGTCTTTAATCTGTTGGATCTATGGGTTTATTAAGGGCTTGTGGGATTCAGTGTGTTTCTCTCACACGCTTCGGCTCCTCCTGTGTGAGAGGTAACAGCCCTCGTCGTTGACCAGAGCTCCAGTTTAGCTCATCTCCCATTGCCGGCCAGTCCCAGGACGCCTAGAGACACATGGATCACCTGTCTGTCCAAATCCTGTCCCTCTGACCTGGGCCAATCCTGAAGAAAACGCCATCTCTCTTTACAGTGAGTGGCAACCAGCCAGGATACTCCTCACCAGATTAAACAGTTTAAGTCAAGACTTTACGGCACTGTCAGCAACATGCACCAATGACTTATGTAAGGTTTGGAAAGGCGTCTAATACTGGGGTCAGAGACATCTGATTACAGTGTGCTTTGGTTTTTTTGACAAATATTGTGATTTTAGACCACTATATGACAGATGTGTAGCATATAAGACTGATGCTGGTAAGATATTAAGGTTAAAAGAACAAATCAAATAACACTGAAGCAGCCACTTGTTCAACAGGGCATGCAAAAAACTGATCCAATTTTAAACCTTCAATGTTGCCCAAGTTTCTTCAGATAACAGCAAAAATATAAACGTAAATACCCTCAAATCAAACAAGTAAAAATACGTTTTCAGCTGCTTCTAACAATGAAATATGTGGGTTGAATTGACAATATTTTGTATGCAAATTCCACAACATATCAAAGTTTCACCACTTTGCAGGCAAGTTCAGAACCTTAAACGAGAAAAAGTCACAACATTTCAAAACATCATCGGTTAACCACTGTTTCTAACCACTCAAAAATTGAAATGGGCCTAACTGACCCATTAATACAAGATCTATATATACGGCTCAGGCCTTTCCTTTGATGTAAAATGTGAGATTTTTCATCTACTTTTCAAGCAGCATTCAGTAGTTCTTTAGTTAGCATTAGCAACACTGTTCTTTGTATACTTTCAGTACAGATCCCACAAATTCCCTAGTTGCATGTTTACACTCTTTTTTGTCTTTGCCTGTTTTTTTATGTTTTCTGTCTTTTGACTTTTTCTGCTTCTTTAGCTGCACAGGTACTGAGTCTCCTCTACTTGTAAAGTAAAGTGTGTTTCATTGTCAAGTTTTCACTCTTCGCATCACCAAACTACACTATACTACTAGTGTATCTACAAAGGCAGCAGTGAGTGTGAGGATGTATAGTGAAACACCATGGGTCACATCCATACACTGAGGGGGCGACCTGCACCAGATATTACTATTATGTTGTCTTCCTCTTATGAAGGGTACACCATTCAGACGACATTTTATAAACAGACAATTTAGATCTTATCATGTAAAAGTTTTTTTAAATTAGCAACAAACTACTGAATGCACCTTAAATGCCAAAGGTTCTCCTCAGAAGTCCACACAATTTCATAAATCACTGACGCATAGTGCCAACAGTGTGAGAAGAGATGCACTTAAAAGTTTAATACTTTAGGTTTAAGGTTTCAGAAAAATCCTTAACCCTAAATGAGAGCGATAGTAACAGAAATAGTGATGCTCGTCTTGGCAAACAGCACTAAAAATCTTAAAGGAAACCATGGATGGCTACAGGTTTTTTTTTATTTTTTAGAAAAATAACTCTAATCCAAATACACAAAGAACATCACTGAAGGTCCTACCTGTCTGTGGTTGTATCCTTGCAGCAGAAGGAAATATGGGAAATCAAAGGGCAGGTGGATGGAGTACTGCGTGTTGTTGTCATCGCTGCTTTCCGTCTCCTCTTTCTCTGCGTTGAGGAGGTGAGCCTCTTTATCAGCCTCTGCCTCTGGATCCTCCTGTAGAGGTGCATTATGGGTCTCACTGGCTTCTTTTCCCATAGTGGAGATGTCCATGTCGCTCAAGCTCCTCCAGATACCCAGAGCATCCAGCCCCTCATTCGTCCCATCCACAAACAGAGAGGTGACCCGCGCACGAGCATGCTGCAGCTTTCGGGCTTGGGCATTGAGGCCTGGGGTGATAAATGTTTTTAAAATATATGACTTCAACTTAAAAAATGTATACAATTTCACATTGTCATGCTAAAAACGTATAGACAACCATTGCTTATGAAGATAATAGCACTGACTATGGCTTTGTCAGACTTCTTCTACTGCATGAGCAACAATTTTAAAGCAGCATAAGTTCATAAAATGATGGCTTAAATGGTTTAAGATTATGCTTTCATACATTCTTCTAAATATAGCTGTACATCTGCCACATTTTGTTTAGACGATCTGCAATAAGATGACTATGGATGGGAGTGGCATACAGTGTTGGAAGTAATGCATTACAAGTAACAAGTTTTGTAATCAGATTACTTTTTTACAAGTAACTAGTAAAGCAACGCATTACTTTTTAATTCCTTTTTCAAATAAGTAACGCCCATTGATTGACTGACACCTTTCCTGGTGTTTAAGTGCAGAGACCTTGTGTTTGTTGTGTAAGCATGATGTTACTGTAGTTCTAGACTAAATGTGAACATGCATTTACCCACAACAAAAACAGATCCAGTTGTCCTCAAAACGAGGAAAAAACTGTGAAAAGCAAACTCAGAATATTACAGATACCTGCGATAATTAAACATGTAAATACAAAAAAACACTTTGTGTATTTAATCCCATTTTATTGACCTTTATTGATCCAATTTAACCACACCGATAAGAAATTTAGGTGTGAAAGGACTATTGCATTTGCCAAAAATATAACTTTTTGTATTAAAACAAACAAGCAAGCCCGGGCCAGATGAGAAAAAATGTTATGTAACACATTACTTTACATAAAAAATTAACTAACGCAATTAGTTACTTTTTTGGGGAGTAACGCAATATTGTAATGCATTACTTTTAAAAGTAACTTTCCCCAACACTGGTGACGTAACAAACAGAACTGAAGAGTGCTGTGAAATGTTCTCAGAGCTCAGGCTTTCACACCCAGGCGTTATCAGCTGTGGAAATGGGCGGTCATCTACATTGTTCTGCCAGAACACACAGCGATGGGGGCCGAGCTTCCCCAGTCACCGATTCTCAAGGGAACCCTGTGGAACACCACAGCCCCATGCCAAAGAAAAAACACCCTCAAGAGTGCAGGAAACACGCTCAGAAAGAAAAACAAGCAGCCATTTCGATGTTGGCGGCTGGAGAGCGGTGGGAAAGCTCAGTGTGAGAGCTGATGGGACTATCCCAATAAAACATACTTCTGAGAGAGCAATTTCACTAAGCTTCTTGCTGACAGGCTTTTGTTGGGATAAGCCGTGAGGCACCTCACTCTGTTAAAACATTCCTAAATTGAGTCAACTGGAACATACGTAGATCAAAGGTCAACTAGTCAAAACATCTCTAAAGGCCGTTCACACCTAGAACAATAACTACAACAATAACTATATCAGCGTCTACACCAATGCATGATAACATTCTGATTATTATAAGAGCGCCCAGTTTTGTCATCTGCCACTTTAAAGGTGATGGATTCGAATTTATTGATTCTGATTCATCGGCTGTAGTGTGGATACTATTCTCACAGAATTAGAAAGATTATTAAAACTTAGTTGTTTTAGATATTGTCCTTGGTGTGAACAGGCCCTAAACTGTTGATACGTTCACACAATAAATTGCTGCAATACCTGCAGTGATGGTATCTGTATTCTTGGCACTTTGCGCCTCCACGTTTGCTCTTTTCTGGATCTCGAAACGCCTGGAGAATCCATCCTTGGGTTTCCAGAGCGACTGCAACATGAGGGGCTTCTCGTGGTCACCGACAACCCGACAGCACTCGGTCTTCCATTCATGGTCCAATCCAGTTTGGCCAATCACATCACAGAGCACATACGCACTGGAGTCTTCCTTTTCCAAGCAGTACCTGTGAGGCAAGAGAACAGCTCAGCTGACCTTACCTGCTGGACTAATAATACATGCATTCTGACTTATTTACACTGTTAAAGAGTTGGATTCTCATGCCAAACATGGCAGTCTCAAGAAACAAGTTGAACGTATGACAGAGACGCATTTCAGAAAGGCGGGGCATAGAGGAGAAACAATAATGTACAGTATGTGGAAAATAATGTGTTTTTTAACCTTAAACCGCATACACACATTTCATTACACCAAATACACAAAATAATGTTCTTTTTAGCAACATCATATGACCCCTTTAAGGGAACAGTGGAGGCAGTTTGTTTCTCCGAGCCAGCAACGGAGTTGTGCAAGTGTGTTTGTTAGTTCCCGGCATTGGGTGAGGAATGTTTTATAAACAAATTAAATACAATTTAAGTCTATACATTTTTGTTCCTGTTTTATTTATGTCGATGTCACAGCTTGCAAACGAACGCTGCGCAAAAGCTTCTCGCACTCGTGACTCTTCAGCTCCGTCCACGGCACACCTCCAAGAGCTTCACAGTTTTCAGAGAGAAGCGGTACAGCTGTATCTGTCTTTTATAAATCTGATCAAACTAAAGGCTCTTTGAAGATATGAAGAAAGCAATACTACTTTATAGGTACTCAAGATTAACATGAGATTGGCCGAAACTGTGTTATGTCCCCTACAAGGCCTGTTTACACCAAGAATGATCACTATAAAGATAACAACAATGATATCTATGCTGTCATTCATCCACACCAAGGGATGATAATGTTCTGTTTATTATAAGCATGTGCTGCCATTTTGTTGTCTACTGCTTTAAATGCTTGAGTTCTTTCAAATCTGGTGGATTCTGATTGGCTCAATGTTTCAATGACAATGTTTTTTTTGTGTTCATCAGCTGGAAAAAAAGTGATTCAAACGATATGGTTTCTCTGTGTCATTATCGACGTAGCTGTGGTGTGGACATCACTATTATCATACAATTAGAACAATTACTGACACTTTATAGTTACAGTTATTTTATTTGTTGTTGTGTACAGCCCTTAGTGCTTTTCCAGTGATGTGTTTTGACTAGTGCTGTCAAACGATTAATCGCATCCAAAATAAACGTTTTTGTTTACATAATACGTGTGTATACTGTGAATATTATGTATATATAAATACAAACACATAAATGTATATATTTAAGAAAAATATAATTCTAACAAATGCTTTGCTTGTCTGTTACTTAAAATAAAAACTGACTTATTCTGCTATCTACTGGCATCGCTGTCACCCTTGTTTAAGTGTGTCTAAGTCCTCGGATGCTTTCAGGGGGCACTTCTTTCTTCATTTGTGCCGCGAGTGTGCTGAAAGTAAACGCAAGGCATGCAGAAGCGTGTGCATAACTCACTGCAGAGATCCACTGCTGCTCTTTCTGCCCAGCACTGCCAGGCGTCTCTTGGGCGAGCGGATCAAGAAGCCCACAGGAAAGCCCAGAGCTTGTTTAGAGACGAGACTGCTTCTTTCCTCCGAGATCATGTCAGCGCGTGCAAGAGTGTAATTGTTCGATTTCAAGTGTCACGTTTAGCAGCTCTATCCCAGTCTGTGTGCCCCGCTGTCCAAATAACTCGCTTCGGGGCAACACATGTCGCGCGTGTTAGTGACACAGAGACTTTAAACGCTGAACATCTTCAGTCATCCTTTCTTTACTATCATCCACTGAACACAACCGTGTCTGCTTCGCTATTAAATAATGTCATCCAGTCCGGTTTGAACAAGTCCTCTTTAATTAGACATGTCCTTACGGATTAAAACGAATGCTAATCCGATATCGTAAACGATAGCGATAAACTGTCCCAGCGACACGCTCGCTCTGATTCCGTTGAGTGTCCCCTGTCCCGTGTGTGTGTGTGTGTGTGTGCGCTTGGGTCCCGTTTGAAAAGTTAAAACGCGTCGTAAAGAGGGCGTCTGGGAACTCTAGCCGGAAGTCAATCCTATTATGATATGTTTAGCTCATGAATATTAATTAGGGTATGTGATTGGCCGTACTAATTCATATTCATGAGCGCAAACTTCGTCACAGCAGTGACAACAGATACAAAGGTATATTTATATATACATATATAAAAAAAATATCTATCGATATTAAGACATTTTACACCCTGCATTGCTGAAAGAAAACACTGGACCTTATTCGAGATTTACGAGCAGAAAGTGTGTAAACTTTACGAAAACAAAAACCCTTCTTATGTAAATCGCTGCATTTATTTAAAATAAACTATTTACAAAACTACATTAGAAATTAAAATGGCATTCGCTCTACTTCTGTTTTATAAATGAGGTGGACATGGTCTTCAGTTCATTTCCATACATTAAATAACTGCACACATTGCATATCGTTATTATTGCCTGACGTATTTGATTGCTCAATATTTAATATACATACACACGGATCTGCTTTATGCATCATAAATTATGATACAGCCTGTATGACAGCAGTTCCCTCACTGTAAATGTGAGCGGATCTGATCTGAAGTGTAAGGAAAAGGGAAAGGCGGGAGAGGATTTCCCTTGCACTGGGTGTGAAAGGACTCAACTACGTAGAATGTCATAATATTTGCTCGTTCTGCATGCACGTCTTTGTTTTTTCATTCACGATACCACAAGTGTGTCTCCATCTACTGGCAGTGATCACAAATAACACATGACTATAGCTGCACTACATGTTTCCTCCTCAAGGGGGCGCTTTGAGTTACAGAAATATCTCCGCTTGCGTTTAAACATTCGATTTTATCTATTCAACACGAAAATAAATAAAATAAACTAAGTTGGACCATGCTATTGTCAGATTTTATGCAGATTTGCTGGCTTACCGTCCCTGTAAACGCTAAGCTGAAGAACAAGGTACTTTACCGTTCAAATTCAATTCAAACGGGCTAATTTGATAAACCAAGGGGATTCTTTTAAATTCTCAGGTACCTCAATCAGAGAAAATGTGTTGTGCGTCACGAGAAGTGTTAAGATGTATGTTTAACAATCAAACAGTATCCAGTTTACCCTGCTACACGAAGGTAATGAGTCTGCAGGTTTGTATTCAAACCGTCTTGACTAGGGATGTAACGATTAACCGCGAGCCGGTTGAAAATCGATTCAAATATGTGACGATTCAAATCGGTTGAGATGCCAAACAAATCGCTATTCATTTAGGTGTAGGAGTTTATATGAATGTATGTTTGAGGGGAACTTACAGTCTTTAGAAAAGTTTAGATGGTATTTGTTATTTTCATCTTGCCTCTGTATAAAGCATATTGAAGTTTATGAGTGCAGCGCTGCTTTGTTTACAGCGGAAACCAGGAAACGCTTTAAGCGCCACCTGCTGGCAGAGAGTGAATCTGCGTCTCGTTCAGCTCGTCTGCTGTTTCGGTTTCATGCAGATATTTTTTTATGTATAGTTTCACAAAACTGAAGTTAAACCATTCTGTTTTTGCTTCAAATTTCGAAATTATACAATCTAATTTAGATTAAAAACTGCTCATGTTGCATGTATGCAGCATCTTTGTTTGGATCAAGATTAAAATGCAGCGGTTGCCTCTAAAATTAAATGAAGAGCACGGACAAAGCCTTAGTTTGTTTATATGAATAGATTTCTTTATTTTTTACTTATTTGATTTGGGGCTTGTTTTAAAATTTCAATTTAGTTTTGTTATTTACATTAAATTTAGTTATTTAGCAGACAATTTTATACAAAGCGACTTACAAATGAGGACAGTAGAAGCAATCAAAACCAACAAAAGAGCAATAATATGCAAGTGCTATATTAGTATATTATTACAGTGTTATATTTCAATTTCACAAAGAAACGTGCAGCATTTTGTCCAAGCAATAATATAAGACATTTAATTTATAATTTGTCCTAAATCTAATTTGGTTTAAAAATCGTGAATCGAATCGTGAAATCAAAACCGCGAATCGAATCGTGACTTGAGTGAATCGTGACATCCCTAGTCTTGACAGTTTAGGAGACTTCAGCCATTTCCTTTCAAGAAGATCCATCTTCAAAAAATGAGTCCCCAAGACAGCCATCTAAGTGAACAGACATGCCTTTCCAGGAAATCATGAATTTGCATACATTGAGACACATTTAAACTGATAAAATACAATAAACGTGTAGAATAAACACAATCCTGGACATACTACTAAATATTTTGTCACTGTCAGATTTGATCAAGTTTTTTTGACCTCTGATGTACTAATAGCAGCAAAATTGCTTTGGCGTTAAACGAGTTTAACAAGGAAAAACCTTCTGATATCTAAAGCGAGCAGGTCAGCTCGCAGTTCTGCCATCTTTTGCATGCTCCCATAGCGCTCTGAAAAACAACACGACATCATTTTTTTCCTCATTTTTATTCAGGACAAATACAGGGTTTTTTTTAAACTGGAACAAAATGAAAACACTTCTCTAAACTAAAACCGTGTAAAGATTTGGGATTTAGCATACAGAGGGGAAAACCAAAGCCAGTTAGAGACCTTTAAGGCTTCCAGTCAAAATACCGAGCAGAACCGATCGTCAATATTTCTAACGTGTCAAGTGAGAGCGGACTGTACAGAGCAAACATGTCACAAGTATTTGATTCATTCTGAATGCATACTGACAGAAATAATGGTGGACCTGCATGTGCATCTACGCCAGCTCATAGCAGTGAGACCAAAGAAAACCAAACAAACATAATTGAAAAAACACGAAGGGTCCTGTGGAAACACTGAAAAGGGGACCGTTTTACATTTACATCTTTATCATATAGGCCACTACATCTGTGGTTCACCTTGTTTTAAAGCAGCGGAGGTGAGTTGTCGGATGGAGGTCTTCGGGTCTTCCTCTCGCAGCTGTTCAAACTCCCCCTGATGTACACAAATGGTCAGAGAAACTCCATTAGTGCGTGAAGCCAGACACATTTACAGCACAAGCAGAAACATTACACCAGATTAACAGGTCTCATTTACACAGCTTTTTAAAAACTATCAAACCACAATTAAGCAAGAAATACATTGGATCACTTTTATCATCATCTTTGTTCTACACTCTTTATCAGTTTTCAAATGTTTCATCTTGAGATTTATATTTTTTTAAACAGCAGCAGCAGCGATAGTAACTGCTCGGCTGCAAGTTAAAATGATTGAAGGCAAGCACACAAATAAAACCATGAAATATTTAAAAGAATTGATATCCCGCTTCTATACGGCCAGACTGTGGCTCTGTAGGTGGCTGATCTTGCTCTGAAAGCATGCACTGCTACTTTAAGGACAACACATGTTGCGAATTTAAACAAAACACGAGAGAGAAAGTAAGTCAAAGTTTACTTCAAAAAGACACACCTGCATTAAAACACAAGCTAATTCTCACTAGGGCTGAGCGATATATCCAATATCCCTGATAGAATCAGCAGTGATAGATAGCAAAATTGCATAAAAAATGTAAACCGTTTGAACCAATTCAAAATCGTGATTCAACATAAGTAAATATTAACATTTACTCCTACGTATTGTTATATTAGTGCATATTAGGGCCGAGAATAATGCATTCATTTGGTGTGAATATTTGTGATGCATTCATATTGGTGTGAATACAGAAAAAAGTTCTGCTTAATTTCGCAAAAAATCTCATTTACACAGCTTTTTAAAAACTATCAAACCACAATTAAGCAAGAAATACATTGGATCACTTTTATCATCATCTTTGTTCTACACTCTTTATCAGTTTTCAAATGTTTCATCTTGAGATTTATATTTTTTTAAACAGCAGCAGCAGCGATAGTAACTGCTCGGCTGCAAGTTAAAATGATTGAAGGCAAGCACACAAATAAAACCATGAAATATTTAAAAGAATTGATATCCCGCTTCTATACGGCCAGACTGTGGCTCTGTAGGTGGCTGATCTTGCTCTGAAAGCATGCACTGCTACTTTAAGGACAACACATGTTGCGAATTTAAACAAAACACGAGAGAGAAAGTAAGTCAAAGTTTACTTCAAAAAGACACACCTGCATTAAAACACAAGCTAATTCTCACTAGGGCTGAGCGATATATCCAATATCCCTGATAGAATCAGCAGTGATAGATAGCAAAATTGCATAAAAAATGTAAACCGTTTGAACCAATTCAAAATCGTGAATCAACATAAGTAAATATTAACATTTACTCCTACGTATTGTTATATTAGTGCATATTAGGGCCGAGAATAATGCATTCATTTGGTGTGAATATTTGTGATGCATTCATATTGGTGTGAATACAGAAAAAAGTTCTGCTTAATTTCGCAAAACAAAAATTGTAATGTCTATTTAATGGTTTTAATTAATCTTTTAGGAAGTAATTTCTTAGCCAAAACTGATGTGCGATTAAATATGACATGCATTTAATCAAGATTTTAAAAAATGATTAATCACTTGACAGCCCTTGTGCATACACGAGATTTATTAATTTTTTTTTATTCCCACTGTTTTACAACTTTCGTTTAGAATTTTGTAGCCATTTTTAACAGGCCACGATAGTGAAATGGTGGCTACTCTTCTTATAGACAAAAAAAAAAACTTTATATCAACCTTTAAGCCCATTTGAGAGCTAATAAATGCATTCAATTTCATCAATAAGTAGGTATGCAACGATTAACCGTGAGCTGGTTGACAATCGATTCAAATATGTGACGATTCAAATCGGTTGAGATGCTAAACAAATCACGATTCAGTTACGGGCAGGAGTTTATATGAACGTATGTCTGAGGGGAACTTACAGTCTTTAGAAATGTTTAGATGGTATTTGTTCTTTTCATCTTGCCTCTGTATAATGCATATTAAAGTTCACAAGTGCAGCGCTGCTTTGTTAACAGCGGAAACCAAAGAAACGCTTTAAGCGCCACCTGCTGGCAGAGAGTGAATCTGCGTCTCGTTCAGCTCGTCTGCCGTTTCGGTTTCATGCAGATATTTTTTATGTATAGTTTCACAAAACTGAAGTCAAACCATTCGGTTTTTGCTTCAAATTTCGAAAGGATACAATCTAATTTAGATTAAAAACTGCTCATGTTGCATGTAAGCAGCATCTTTGTTTGGATCAAGATTAAAATGCAGCGGTTGCCTCAAATTAAATGGAAAGAGCACAGACAAAGCCTTAGTTTGTTTATATGAAGAGATTTATTTTATTTGGGGCTTGTTTTAAAATTAATTTAGTTTTATTTACATTATATTTAAATTTAGTTATTTAGCAGACACTTTTTTCCAAAGTGATTTACAAATGAGGACAACAGAAGCAATCAAAACCAACAAAAAAGCAATAATATGCAAGTGCTACATTAGTATCCTATTATAGTGTTATATTTCAATTTCACAAAGAAATGTGCAGCATTTTGTGCAAGCAATATAAGACATTTAATTTAAAATTTGTCATATCTCATTTTGTTAAAAAAACTTGTGAATCGAATCGTGAGTTGAGTGAATCGTTACATTCCTATCAATAAGATGAACTGACATACGTTTGTTTAGCTATATCACCCAGCCCTAATTCAAACCTATAACTGGTTACCGAACAGGCAAAATTAAAATAAGCGACACAAACAAGGAGAAAGAACTGTTTTGAGCTTGATCTGGTTTGATAGGTTATTGTGGGATATCAATTGGGCTCATCTGTAAACCTGACATCCACCCGTTACGGCGTAGAGTAAACCATTGGCACTTGAAACCAACAGAAAGCAAAACTGAGAACATTTCAAACTGGGAGAAAAGAGATAGGGTAAATAAACATCAAGCTCTGAGACACGTTCACAGGCAACAGCATTCAAATGGATGTGGGTAGTGAAAGGAGTACCTTTGGTGAATACCTGCACAGATTGACAGTATCCTTGATTTTTAAATTGGCTTTTCATGAGGGGGGAGGGGTCGCTCACAACACCAACGCTGTGTGAGGTGTGGAAGTCAGCTGCAATAATTCATTAACCCTACACTTCCATCATCCCAAAGCTATCGGATCTCAACTTTAAGAACAGACGGTATTAAAAAGTGCAACATATCCATGTAACTCCAACAAAAAAAATACATATGTATTCATTGCAGTTGAATGAACTCTTTGGACCTCTTATTAACACCTTATAGACATCAGATGGTAAAATGCTGTGTGCTTATGCATGTACATGCATATGAGCACACAATCATTTTATATGTGAAAGACAAAGTTCAGTCAACTAGTTTAATCTTACTGCGAGCATAGAGTTAACAGGTTGAGGTAGTAAAGGCAGAGTTAGAAAAAACAAACAAAAAAAACCACGTAAATTTGGAAGAGAACTTGTCTAAAGAGACAGATGTATGACCGATACAAAACGAGGTACCTCCAAGCATGTTTTTCAGGGCTACACTGGCCTTTCCCTCTGGGTTTGTTTCTTTCTACTTTCTTCCGTTTCATCAGCCTAGTCCCCATCTTCAGTGCATACTTACGATGCACTATTAAAAAACAGGAAGAAAATCACAGACAGAACTGAAAGAAAAAGGGGGGAAGGGGAGAGGGGGAGAGACCCGGGCCGGACGGGACAGTGCACTTACCTGGGGCTGATCTGAGGTCCTATCAGATCAGTTTTAATTGGACTGTGTGTCACCTTCAGAATGTAGCTCTTGCGCGGTGCCGTTCACTTCCGCTTTGGGAGGCTCCGCCTCCATGGACTCGGGCTTGGAGAGCTCATTAGACTTTTCAACCGAGCCCTTTCTGCTGCTCCTTTTCTCATCTGAGGAGTCCTTGTGCTCTGTGAGATAAACAATAAACGGACATGGCTATCTGGGCGATTCAGAAATATAGTTAGATTAGGCATATTTGATTTAGTTTCGCGAGTCAGTTCAAACTCTTGCAATAAAACCTTTCGAAACTTCTGATGTAACGATGATGAGGGAATTCTGCACGTGTCAAAAATAAATAAAAAAATACACATGGAGCTACAGAAAAATGAAGTCTTCAAAAGGTTTGTTCTACAACAAACAAATAAAAATTACCATAAATCAAAAAAATAAATAACCAAACAATTTAATTAAATAAAAACGAACAATCTCCTTCTCCCGCTCTCTCTCCCTCTCCTTTTCTCGCTCTTTCTCTCTCTCCTCCTCCTCTTTGCGTTTCTTCTCACGCTCCTCCCTTTCACGCTCTCGGTCCTCCTTCTCCTTCTTGCCTCGCTCATCCTTCTCCGGATCCTCTGAGCGCCGATGCAGCTTTTCCTGTGGGATCAAACAGAAAATCATGGTGTAAACATTACCGACTTCTGATTTGTGCCAATCAAGTTCATTCAAAACCACGCATTACCAAATTATCTAACATTAAGAATTTGTTTTTCTTACAAAATGACTGTATTGTAAAATATAGAACTGGAAGAAATGTCTATAACGGACCCTAAATCAAAAGGTTGACCGCCACCTCACCTTCAGCTCCTCGACCGTGGCTTTGATTTTGGCATATCCCATATGCTGCTTGCCCATTAGATGATCATCCACTCTGGACTGAGCGTCACCAACTATGAGGAAAGCGCCACACACTTCACACACCTCCATCTGCTTCTCCTGAGCTGCAAAGCTCTCAATCGTCTGACAAACAAGAAATCATGTCAGTACCTTTTACAATTAAATACAAAAACAGGCCGCATGTCTGCTTAAACCTGGATGTGTTACTCACTGAAGGAGTGGAATTGAGCTGCTCCCGCTCCTCCTTCAGCTGCTCCACCAGCTTCATCATGCCCTGCGCCTCCTCAACACGGCCCTCCGAGCCCAACTCCTCAATCTGAGCACACACAAACACACATCTATATGCCTCTCTGAACACATTCGTGCTCATTTCTCCACTTATGACAGGCAGAACCTACCTGAAGAACAAGCTCCTCAATCTTCGTGGTGAGGACCTGAGATTTCTCCTCGTTCTTCCCAGATGGACCCGGTGCCTGGAAATCAGAGTTCGGAGTGAGTTGTGCTCGACACACAGTGTACACACGCCTTTATCTATATTATCATAATAAAAACTGCATATGAATTTAACAGATTGTCCTAACCGGCTGGCTTGCTGAAGAGCCAGGCAATAAATATGTTCCAAAATGTGGTCATATAAATATGTAGACAGTGAAGGCTATGGAAATACTTACTCCAGAGTTCTGCTGGGCTCATTTTAAAACCCCCCCAAAAACAAAAACCCAGACTTTAAAATAAAAATGAAAACTGAAAAATAAAAGCCAATTTGAAACAAATAAATACTATAATAGCATATCAAACAAATATATTTTGAAAACAAAATATATATTGCTTTGCACATTCTCAGCTCGTGTGTCTAGGAGCTGTGAGAGTTGCGCACCTGCTGCGCTTCCGGTCACGTTCCTTACTCCTGGACCTCTTCCTGTCTCTTGAGCGGCTCCTGCGGCGGTCTGACGCGCGGCTGGAGTGTCTGCTGTTGGAGTGACTCCTCCTGCGCCTGTCCCGTTCCCTCTCCCTCTCCCGCTCACGTTCCCTCTCCTTCTCCCGCTCTCTCTCCTTCTCCTTTTCTCGCTCTTTCTCTCTCTCTTCCTCCTCTTTGCGTTTCTTCTCACGCTCCTCCCTTTCACGCTCTCGGTCCTCCTTCTCCTTCTTGCCTCGCTCATCCTTCTCCGGATCCTCTGAGCGCCGATGCAGCTTTTCCTGTGGGATCAAACAGAAAATCATGGTGTAAACATTACCGACTTCTGATTTGTGCCAATCAAGTTCATTCAAAACCACGCATTACCAAATTATCTAACATTAAGAATTTGTTTTTCTTACAAAATGACTGTATTGTAAAATATAGAACTGGAAGAAATGTCTATAACGGACCCTAAATCAAAAGGTTGACCGCCACCTCACCTTCAGCTCCTCGACCGTGGCTTTGATTTTGGCATATCCCATATGCTGCTTGCCCATTAGATGATCATCCACTCTGGACTGAGCGTCACCAACTATGAGGAAAGCGCCACACACTTCACACACCTCCATCTGCTTCTCCTGAGCTGCAAAGCTCTCAATCGTCTGACAAACAAGAAATCATGTCAGTACCTTTTACAATTAAATACAAAAACAGGCCGCATGTCTGCTTAAACCTGGATGTGTTACTCACTGAAGGAGTGGAATTGAGCTGCTCCCGCTCCTCCTTCAGCTGCTCCACCAGCTTCATCATGCCCTGCGCCTCCTCAACACGGCCCTCCGAGCCCAACTCCTCAATCTGAGCACACACAAACACACATCTATATGCCTCTCTGAACACATTCGTGCTCATTTCTCCACTTATGACAGGCAGAACCTACCTGAAGAACAAGCTCCTCAATCTTCGTGGTGAGGACCTGAGATTTCTCCTCGTTCTTCCCAGATGGACCCGGTGCCTGGAAATCAGAGTTCGGAGTGAGTTGTGCTCGACACACAGTGTACACACGCCTTTATCTATATTATCATAATAAAAACTGCATATGAATTTAACAGATTGTCCTAACCGGCTGGCTTGCTGAAGAGCCAGGCAATAAATATGTTCCAAAATGTGGTCATATAAATATGTAGACAGTGAAGGCTATGGAAATACTTACTCCAGAGTTCTGCTGGGCTTGAGACAGGGCTAAACGCGCATGGCCCCTCCGAATCCTGCGCTCCACCTCGGCCAGGAGACTCTGCAGGTACCGCAGGAAGTCTCGCTCATATCCTTCCTTCATAAAGCGGGAGCTCTTCTCATACCTAAGACAGTGTGTAACAGTTTTTTTACATTAACATATGATACAAATCTTAAAACATATACTGGTAAAATTACACTAAATAATCATTTTGGGGTAAAATTAGAAATAGTTTTATGCTTAAAGAAAATTTTTTAACAAGATAATTTTTAGAAACAAGATTGTTTGCTGTAGAACATGTTTATGGCTAATTCTATGTATAATTCTAATAAAAAAATTTTTTTAAATCTAGTAAACGTAACTAAATAAAACATAGTATATGTGTACAGTAATGACAATCACTATTGAGAACAATGGGAATTAAAAATCTGCCGATTTTTTGCATTATATAATAGAAAATTGTGAGGAAATTCATGTTAATGAATTTGTCAGAAAAAAAAAAAGTATATTAATATTTATGTTAATATTAATGGTTCTAAAAAAACAAAATTAACTATTTTTTTACCATCTGATTTGGGATGTGTTCATGACATTCACCCAACACTTACATTTTCCTCAAGTTTTCATCATGGATTTTTTCACAAGGACCTGGGGGAAAAAATTACACATTACAATGTGGATCGCAAGAATAAAACGAGACAAATGTATTTGAGAAGCTGTCCTTACCCAAGTCTGATCGTGTGTTTGTGAAGAGTTCAGCGGGGCAAAAGTCACACAGGTAGTATTTGCAGACCTGAAGAAAAAGAGTGAACACTTGTGTTAAATCCTCACGAGTACTCGAATTAGTGGTCGACCGATATTGGTTTTTTGACAGCCGATGCCGATATCTTGGAAAGCAGGGTGGCCGATGGCCGATATAAAGCAGACACAATTATATTTATTTTAATTAATATTTAAGAAATTTGAACTATATAAATGAATGTGTTAAATAAACATACTAATACCTTAGATGACACAGTATTTTTCACAAATAAATAAATATTTAATAAATTTAATATAATTAAAAAGGAAGCAAGCACTGTAACCAACAGGGCACTCAGTATTCTGGGAAGTCGGTGTGCATTGGGAATCATATTTCTACAAATAAATAATAATAATGATGCATTTTATTTAACGTCGCCTTTCAAAACACCCACGGTCACCTCATCCTGCAAAACCGCATTTAACAGGATAAAGAAATGACACTAAGCCCTATTCGGAATCCATGAGTTTTATCACTGAGGTGATAAGTACATTTATTTTTACAGACGTCCATATGAGAAACAATTACCGTCCGAATCGGGCTGTGACGTGACTGTGGTCAAAGCGAACACGTGTTCCTGCAGAGCATTACTCTTACCTATTGTGATTTTATTCGTCTTTATCATCCTTATTAATATTTTAATGCAGAGATTTAAACTATATTCACTATATACAATGCTTAACATTTATGTAAGGTTTTTAACAAATGATGGTTTGTGCCACTGCTGCTCTAAACTAACAGTACTGGTGATTACCAAAATCATTTTTTAGCTTTCTGTATGGGTTAGTCCTCCAATATGCATAAGCTCTTTAGTAACAGTAGTAGG